TAATCGTGACTAGTCGACTAATCGTGGCAGCCCTATTGTGTGGGAAAAGTCATGGTTCTTTGAGGAGCTCCCACCAAATTTGTGTTGCATCTGATTTCCAGGAAAGGGGGGAAAATTGCCTGTTAATGTTCTTTTAATGCTTTAGGCCAGGTAGAATTCCTGGAGGCAGGTTTAGTGAAAATCATTCTTCTTCATAAGGCTTTAAATGATAAATGCTAATTCCTTTGTAGATATGGAGATTACAGTGGATGTAGTGGGCCATGGGGTTCCAGTCAGTTGCTGCCATTTAGCTGGTCTAATCTTGCAGAAATGGCTTTGGTGTGAGCTGTAATGCATGTGGTTCGATTGCCAGGCCTCCCTGACCCTTTGTCTTGAAGGACAGCTGATGTGTGGCACTCTGCCTGATTGATCAAAGGCATCCTGGACTCAGTTGTCTCCTCTTTGTTTGTGTTGGTTGCATGTCCAGTGTGACTGGTTTGTTCCTACAAAAGTAAAGAAGTAGAAGTGCACTCTGAGAAATGTAGTGGGAACACTGCTCTCCAGGTTCTGCCTGGTAGATTTTGTATAATCTTGCTGAGTTGCAAACAAACGGCACCAGCACATTAATAAAAATCTATGTACAAAGCAAATTAACTGCCTCTGCAAGATGGGCTTTTTCTGGAAATATACAGAGTATTAAACATATTAAACAAACTCTAAAGCCTCTGTGAGTTGAATATTAATTTAAGTACAGCTTCTTATAAACGATTCTAATGGCAGTTCTTGTTTGGAGAACCTTGCAAGCATTAAAGGGATTTATAATGCAGTTTTATTAGACCATCTAAGTGTCATTCCAGGCATGCATAGATTTTGTTTTGTTTTTTCTTTATTGCTTTGTCTGAATCTGTTTAGCAGATTGCGCTCAATTAAAATTCAGGCAGTTCATTTTGTAATCTTAAAGGCTGTACACTGTTTATCTCTTGGCAGCTGTCTCCAGCTTTCTCTCTGTTTTTCTTTTGTTTTTATAGGAAGAAGTAACATCCCATAATGACAATATGCAGTATCTGAACCTGGCGGTGAGAGCTTGGGCTCAGAAACAAAGGAGTTCCTGCCACAGCAAACTGAGCCCAGAGTTGCGAGACACCTGTCGAGTCAAGCGCGACTCGGGTGGGCAAATCAAGAAAAATAGCGATCGGGTTAGGAATTGCGCACCCTTCAGTATTCCCTACGGACCACATCTCATCTCTGTACGCTGTCAGGAAGAACTGAGGAGGACGACCCCCGAAGATGTAGAGGTCAACTCTTCCAGCAACGGCGCAGTCAGATCTCAAGAGGACTGCGCTGTCAGCTCCGATCCAGCACAGACAACCAGGTTTGCAGCTGCTGTCAGACTCGATCAGAGAACACGTGGACGTAACGCTGGTTCAACTCGGTGTAGAGAATGTGACTGTGCAGACGGGACATCAAAGAACCTGTCAGAGGATTATAAGGCATCAACGCATACAACAATAACCACTAACGACTTGTTAGACTGCCTGGTGCATCCAGACATCATCACCCGTGTCACTGAGCTGCTTCTAGAAAAGCA